CGCGTTTCCTTCTGGTTTTCTCCTTGCTGCTCATTGTAGAATTTCCAGTCAGTCGACTTTCCTGTGGTTCTGGATAATGTCCATTTTATTTTTTAGTTGTATTTTATTGAAATTGTTGTGTGAGGCTGCAGCTAGGTATTCACCTGGGCGCAGCCATCTTGGAGGACTCAGAAAAAGCCTTTTTAAGAGAGAAACATCAGGTGGCAGACAAGCAGAGGAAGGCAAGGCGCTGATGGAGAGAGAGGGCGTTGCGGGAGGGGCTGCCAACCTGAGCCTGCCTCTGATACTCAAGGAAGCTGCAGAGGACAGGTCATCCCAGGGCTTGGGATGCTCAGCTTCCCTCCAGACCCCAGGGCTGACTCCATCAGAGGTGTCTGCGTGGCCCGGGGACCAGGCTTCCCCACCTGGCAGTGCCAATCCGGTGCCAGAGGCCTTGAGCAGGCCCCCCAGGCTCTCTGGGCCTTCCCTCCTCCATCAGTTCAACCCTGGGAGGAGTGTGTGTGGACCTGAGATGATGTCAGCTTAGACTGCGGTTTCTACCATGCCCCCTCAGAAGTGGACAGCGGAGCTGAGCAAGCTGGAGGAGAGGGTGAAGGTGCTGACGGCCGAGAAGGAGCAGCTCCAGCAACGGCTGCAGCAGCGCAGGCCCATCTCCTGCACCTGCTGCGTCCTGTGAGGGCCCCGCGGGCAAGTGGGCGCAGGGATGAATCTGTCACTCTCCCTGGGAGATACAGGGACTGCCTACTTGAGCCAAAGACCTTCCAATAAACCCATCTGGTTGCTCAGAGGGGGATGAGAGCACCAGGCTTCCTTGCTCCTTCAGCAGAATTGCACACACAGGCTGGTCCCATGTGGCTTCAATCCTGAGCAGACTCCAGGCTGTGTAGCTAATGAATTGCTCTTAGCATGAGCCCCAAGGAACCTCACCTTCAGAAAAAACCTGTAAACACTTGGCCAGGCTATACTGGGGCTGGGCTAGAAGGGACTGTCTCTGTTCCCAAGATACTCATCTTGCCCAGGCCGTGGTCTGACTCCAGTTGGCAGACAGGGTCAGAATGGAATTTATCTTGGGAAATCCCCTCTGCAGATGGCAAGGCACCTCAGTTACAGAGCAAGCAGGCAGCCCTAGCCCTGTCATGCTGGAACTGTGGTTCTCATAGCTCTTCAATAAATTACAGGACCTGGAGCAAGAATGATTATTTCCAGAACATCTGGTCAGCCAGTTGGTAGCTGAGTCATGAGTCACATGCCTAGTCTCCCCTCTGTCCAGGAGGCCAAGCCAGCCCTGGGCTCCTACTACAGAGATGAGGGGAGGAGCCCAGAGGGTCAGGTTCCAGCCTAACCCTGCATTAATGGCCGGTACCTTGGGGGTAGCACTAACCTCTCAGATAGTAGCAGTGCCCTGCTCATCCTCAGGTACCCCGTTTCTCAGCACACAGGCACCTGCACAAAAAGGGCCTGACTTCCATTCTGAGCACCCTCAGCCACTGGGAGTTCTCCTCAGCATTGCCCCACCACCAGCAGAGCTAGAGGCTATAAAGCCAACGTCTGACTAGGACAGGTCTGGACTCAAAGCCCTTCAAGGGCTCCCCATTACATTGAGAGCAAAGGCCAAACCATTGTCTACTCTACACAGCTCTCCCTGACCTCCTCCCCTGTGCATGCATTCCAGCTACACTGAGCACCTTTCATTACTTGTCTCAGGGCCTTTGCACTAGCTGCCTCCCCTGCCTGAAATGCTCCTCCCCGGACAGCTGCTTGACTCATCTCCCCCCCATCCCTTCATTTTAAATGACACCCCTTTCCTGCTTACATGCAAGATGCTAGCCCAGGCATCACGATCCTGACATGCTTATTGGGAGTTGATTTCTCAAAGACAGGTTAAGTCACGTTGTAGCCAAGCTGCTCTGGGCAGCCGAGAACCGGCCCCGGCCGCTGGGTTTGAAGGACACCAGAGAAGCTTGGCCAGGTGTCTTCCCCCAAAAGCTCTGTGCACTGATCAGTGGACTTCTCGGCTTCGGCCTCATCTGCCAAGCTGGGTGGCAGGGTTACTCAGGTTTCACAAGCCCTGGAAAGGCATCTGGGTCCTTTTTAGAAAGGCCATGCGAGCAGCCAGCACCTAACAACTATCATTTGAGGTACTTTTATAGGGCTCTAGAGGCAGGAATGTCTAACCATTGTTTGCAAACCTCATACCAGCCAAGTCCTCACTGTTCCAGGGAGCGCTGTCACCAACGGGCATGTCAGAACAGTTTTGGGAATGGCTTCTATATGGAACCACCGGCTAGGAAAAGAGGTTACAAGCCCCCAACCAGCCACATTCGAAGTACAAGATCAGTATGGAGACCTCTGAGGGGACATTTTATTCTGGCCAGGAGGAACAGAGATGAGGCAGCCGGCTGCTCTGGGTCCGGGGACACCAGCTCTGGCCTCAGTGGCAATGGTGGCCTCCAATAGTGAGTGGAAGACTAAAAAAGGAACCCACTTCTTTTCAGATGCATGTATTTATTTCAGAGAGGGAGAGGGAGAGAAACATCAATGATGAGAATCACCGATGGGCTACTTCCTGCACACCCCACACTGGGGATGTGCTCTGCATGTGCCCTGACTGGGAATTGAAATATGACCTCCTGGTTCATAGGTCAATGCCCAACCACTGAGTCATGCTGGCTGGACAAGGAACCACCTCTTTTCTGGATCTCTGATGGGGCAAATTGTGAGGAACATTTTCTCCCCAATCCTTAATGTCCATGAGTGGATGTTGTTGACCACTGAGACAGGTAACCCAGCCAGAGCTGAGCTCTGCCTCACTCTGAGGAGACAGCTGTGAGCAGGTGTGCTCAGCAGCCAGAGGGTGGGTGCCAATGCCACCAACATACCACAAGGAGCATGAACTCAGTATCGCAGTTTACTTTGAAGGAAAACCACCCAGGAGCTAGGGGAGCAGGAGGACCTGCAGGGGACAAAGCAGTGCCACGCTGTCCGGCCACGTGCACGTGGGCCAGGTCCCTGCTCGGCAGAGGGAGAGCCTCCATAAACACGCATACTCCCCCTTCTCAAGCTCACAGCGCACATGCACCCATGTTACTTCGAATTTCCATCTTTAAATGCTGAGAATCTAAATTTGAAGTCTTTTGAGAAATTCTGGACCCCATTAGAAGGAAGGACTCCTTTCTAATTTGTAGACTATCAGGTCAGCCATGTAAGACTGCTCACCTGAAGGAGCCCAGGGCGGGCGCTCCGGTGGCCGGAGGCACACAGGCATGCCCGGCAGCACACACTTCCCACCTGCCAGTACGCGCAGAGCATGACAAACCAAGCAAGTCTCTGTTCTGCATTATTTATTTCTTAAGTTAGAATTTACACCAAGTCCAGCCAGAATAAGGGCACACAGCTGTGCCCGCCGTTACGTCAGGTAAAGAAAATAGGTTTTCATATTGCCTTTCAACTGCATAACACCATCCCGGAAGGAAGAAGTCCCTCAAGCAAAGCTGTCGGTAGGTGAGAGGGTCTTAGAGGCAGCTTCCCCACAAGAGTCTGTTCTTCTCTGAGTGACCCCTTGATGCAAGGAGCGCTTCCCAGCCCCAGGAGAGACGCCCCGCCGGAGGACAGGGATTCTCAAATCATGCTTCAGAGACAGGCTTTCTGCCGTTCCTGTGACACCAAGCTGACTGTCCCTCGGACAGCGAGTACCAGCCACATTTGGCACCGAGAGTGCCCAGGTGCGGGCAGTTTCTGGTTTCGCTGCTCTTGGCAGTGAGCCCGCAGGTCACCAGCACCAAGGGTGTAAGCATCAGCTAAAATTACCCTCCATGCGCACCAAGCACGTGCGGCACGCGGCACGCTCTTGAGAATGGCCTAGGCCTCCCTGGGGAGCGGGAGGCCACACACTCAAGTCCACAGTGACTAGAGGTGGCTGCAGAAACGAGGCGCTCGGCGGGCACCCCAGCTGCCCCGTCACCGCTCCTGCAATGTCCCGCCTCCCGTCTGAGGCTGGGGCTGAGAAGGAGAGTCAACACCAGGCAGCCACCGCGCAGGAGCCGATACACATGATGCGACATGCAGGTCACAGTCTTCCCAATACCCTTCCCCATAATAAAATATTCTTAATAAAAACATAATTTAAAGGAAGTGTCAAAAGCCGAGTGTAAAATCAAGCTGCAAACTCCTGAAGTCTGGAGGCTCTCTGGAAGAATCACCCCTGCTTAAAAACAAAAAAAAAAGGAAATTAGCAATTACAGGAGGTATGCATTGTTAAAGTAAGAAAGTCAGAATCTGGAGTCAGCTGCTATGGTCAAACGGACTTCCGTTTCTCATGGAAGTCCGGGGTAGGAGCCTGACATGAACAATTACCAGCTAAATGTGTCATTCCCATAGAGCCACGTGTTTTCAAGATCTTACGGGACCTCCACATCTGCCCCAATACAAGTGCGCTCTTCAGAGCATCCAGCCTCACAGTGCTGGGTGCTGAGCTCTCCACTGAGGGGAGCAGTGAGAATGCCCCACCACTGACCAAACCCGTCCCTTCCCTGTCCCAGGCCTCCCTGTGCAGCTTTAGCCTGGCAGCCTCAGCACACTGTCGGGTGGAGAGCACTGCCCGGCTCAGTCATCTGAGCAGGACTTCATACGCTTCATGGCAGTGCCCACACCTAATTCACTTTACATACAAGTCCTATCACTACAAAGACAAACATTCAAAGTTTGCTCAATAACTACTTGAATTTTAAGGGATTTCCAGAATAAGCAGCAATCAATATAAAAGTGTTAGAGGTGGGTAACTGCATGTACTGGGCAGAGCAGGTGGGTGACTGCATGACTGGGCAGAGCATACTTGGAGGGCTCTCACCCACTTGATGCCCACAATGACCGTGCCGTTTTCATTCTCTGGCAGATAAAAATTTTAACACTGACCTCATGATATTCTTATAATTCTAGTGTTATCACCATTACAAAAACAAACAATAAAAACCTGAAGCTTAAACATAGCACATACGTTACCATCAGTCATGATTTATTGAGGGAAACTTCAGTTCGGTGATCTCGGAGTCAGGGGAGCTGCTTCCGCTCCTGTCACTGTAGGTGTCCCTGAGAATCAGACAGTTTACTCATCACTTCCCACCAAAACCTTGCCTGCTTCCCTGCTTCTGTAAGCACTGCGCCCGTAAGGACACCTCAGCAGGACTCTCTTCTGCATCACATATTTAGCAGAAAGCTTAGAGCTTCTAGTTACAAAGACACACATTCGAGCTTTGCTGCAGTCACCATACCTTAGGCCCCAATCCAGGGTGACTAACTGGTTCGATGTTAAGGTGCACAGCGGCTGACAACTCAGCCGGCAGGCACCCTGGGAAAAATCAGTTCCCCTTGGACCACAGGGTCCTACTTAGTCACAGGGTCCTACTTAGTCACAGGGTCCTACTTAGCATTGGAACCCCAATGCTCCAAATGGGGGACTCGGCAGTGCTGGGGTGGTCACGGGTGGCACAGAAGCAGCCTGAGGAAACCCCCTGAGGAAACCCAGGGCGAGAGGTCACCGCGTGTCCCTGTGAGAAGCAGCCTCCAGCCAGGCTCCTGGGCTTGGCTTATCACCGGGGTGATGGCTGCTGCGTGGAACCAGTGACCACCGAAGAATGAGTGTGACCGACCTGGGCGAGAGCCTGCAGCCCTTCTGGAGGTAATGCGGGAGCCTCCCCACGGAGGCCAGCAGGAGGCCAAAGTACGGCGGGGACGGCTTGATAGGCCTGGACAGGAACTCAGGGTGGTACTGCACGCCAACAAAAAAGGGATGATCTGAAACAGAAACATGCAAGAAAGTTCCATCATATATGTGCACATCACATGTATCAGAAACAAAATCTTATTAAGTGTTTCACATCTGCACAGACCCTACAATTATCTGAAACAGCGTCCTGCTTGGGGCCCGGGTAAAAGTGCCCACCCTCTCCCCTACCCGTGTCGCCCTCCTGGCTGGAGGCACCTCCTCAGGTCCTTCCCCGGCTCTCCGGATGTCTGAAGGGTCGAGTCCCATTAGATTGGATTAGAGGGGGCTCAAGTACCAAGCTCCCGTTAGGAAGAAGGTGGCACCGAGGCGGGAGGGGGACTGTCTGCCTCTAAGGCCCCGGCAGAGCCGTCCCGTGGGCCGTGTCCCTGAGCTCCAGGCACCTTCTTCACCAAGACCCCCTCCTCCTGAGACAGTGCTGCTTCCTATTTCTGTTAGGTCAAGGGCAGTAACGACGTTTTTTATTTCCCCACATGCCAAGAGAACTGTACTATGTTTTCCATTAAATACAACACCCCCGGTAATCACCTTCCAACTCCACAATTTCCATTCTCTCTCCGCCAACGTCTTGGCCAACAAACTTTAGGCCTTGCTCCTCCAAACACTTTTTCAAGACTGGATTCACCTGTTGAAGAATGAAGAATAACTTCTCAGCTTATTGTTTCCAAAGCATCGGAAAGGAGAAAAATTTAAAAGTCACAAAGCTCAATTCCTCACCTCGAATCTGTGGCGGTGCCTCTCTTCCAGGTAATCTGAATCTCCGTAGAGCTTCCCTGGCAAAACACAAACGGCCAAAACCATGCGGATGTACAGAATTCTGACTTCACACACACAAACCTACTTGCCACCATAGCCTGCTCTCCACCTGACTTGTATCATCCGCGCCTTTTAGCATCTGGGCCTTCTGAAGATTATTTCTGGTTCTCCCGCCACCTCAGCCACCCGCTCGCAGCAGCAGTTCAGGCTGACTTTGGGCTCTGACTTTCCGACCACACGGAGACAAACTGGAACAGAAACAGACTTTCACCCCCACCCTCCCACCTGAGCAAACTACCGTGGAAGACAAGTCAGGAGGCCCCGGACATCCAAAGCCCTGAGAGATGTCTTAGGACCTTGGTCGGCAAACTGTAGCTCACGAGCTACATGCAGCTCTTTGGCCCCTTGAGTGTGGCTCTTCCACAAAATACCACGGCCTGGGTGAGTCTATTTTGAACAAGTGGCATTAGAAAAAGTTTAAGTTAAAAAAATTTGGCTCTGCTGACTAATGAGTTTGCCGACCACTGTCTTAGGAGCTACACAGGTGCCGTCAAGCCAGCACTGTGTGGTGAATTCACAGCCTCCAAAGCTCCGTAGCCCCTGCTGGCTTCCCGTAAACAAGCGCTGCATCTGCAAGGGCTGCTCTACAAACCCACGCGGGCTGCCGGGTTGGAGCCCAAACCCAAGTACGTTAGAGATGGGAGGACTGAAGTGACTCAAACTCTGTTGCTGTGGAATCCCCAGACAGAGCTGCCTCTGCTCATATGTGCAGACAGAATTGTCCCAGTGGGCAAGAAAATGACATCTTCACTTTCTTAAATATATTCCTCCCCAAATTTCCCCTAAATCTTTAGCACCTGCTAGTACTTTTAGAAATAAATCTATTTAGATTGAACTTCACGAACCCGCCATTTTTGTGGGAGAACAATTCCCCACGGTTCAACCTCGCAATATAGGAAAGGAAGAGGTTACAGTGGGTTTCACCTAACTGCCTCATTCTGGTGACTCGTCCACACCCAAGATTCCCCTGGCCCCGCCTGCACTGTCTATGATCTTCCTAAGACCCACACCGTGGCTCTGCCTGCTTCAGTGCATCCTCAAAATGCATGACTGGGGAAGGAAAGGAACTTGTAAAGCAAGAACAGAACCAAAAGCACCAGAGCCCAGCACCCCCCAAGACACACGTTCTGGAGGTGCGGGGCCGAAGGCTGCCAGGGGGGCAGCACTTACTCATGACGGAGTTCTTAGTCTGAAACAGGGTTCTCCTCTTGCCCAGCCGCATGGTGCCGCCCATCTGCCCAGGATTGTGCTCTGGCATGTCTATGACCTGGAGGATGGAAAACAAGAATGCTCTCCAAACTCTGCTTCGTTAGACAGACCACCACACTGTGCATGACATGAGCCTGGAGGCTGATTCCCCAGCCGTTCCCGCTAAGGGGCGTTTGTCACGGGGAGAAAAGCCCCCAATAATCATTCTAACCTTCGCTGGGTGGGAGTGAATCCGCCCGCTGCCCTCGTTGCTGCCCCCAGCACTGTGGACCCCAGTGCTGCTGGGCTGCAGCGGTTCTCACGGGGACTAACAGCCCAAGCACACCACACAGGTATGTTGTCACATGCTCCCTGAGACCGATGAGCTGCTCAGAGGCAAAGGCGCTCGTCTAGGGTTCACCGAGCCCCGAGAGCTTAGTGAGCGCCTCGGGAACAGAGCGGCCAGGGCCCAGCCCTGACGGTCCGTCCACCACTCAGTCCCGTGCTCCTCTGACCACTGACGAACCTCTGTGCCCTGCTCCTCCTCCAGCCCACCACATCTCAAAACCTTTGTTTTTCTCCTCCTGAGGTCTGTGTTCGCAAAGTTCAAGCTCAGGTCAACAAGCATACACTGATGCTGTGGAAGTGCCTGGAGATCAGAGCTTTGTCCATCTCGTTTAACACAGCGACCTCAGGGTCAAGAACAGGCCTGCGCCCGGGCTGGGGCTGAGACAGGCAGGCACTGTCCCTCGCCCCGGGCCACGCTCCTCTGGCGGGTGTCACGGGAGAATGCCGTCTCAAAGGGCTCTGGTCACCATTACACAAATCAGTACTATATTCCAGAAGTTCTTTAACGATATGCCCATCTCCCAGGGTTGGTGGGAATTAAGTCAATCAATATATAGGGGTGGGGGAAATAGGTTTATAGTTGTATGTGAAAGTTTATTTTATGTTATTATTTACTCTTGTATTAGATTTTTCCACGCGAGCAACTGTCAACTTACTTTTGCCCACCCCTGTATAAAGCAGTGAACAATGCCTAGCATAATAATAAGTGCCCATAAGTGTTTCATATCAGTATTATTATAAAGAACTGGGAGCTGCCGAAACCGGTTTGGTTCAGTGGATAGAGCGTGGGCCTGCGGACTGAAAGGTCCCGGGTTCGATTCCGGTCAAGGGCATGTACCTTGGTTGCGGGCACATACCCAGTAGGGGGCGTGCAGGAGGCAGATGATCTATGACTCTCTCATAGATGTTTCTAACTCTCTCCCTTCCTCTCTGTAAAAAAAATCAATAAAATATATTTTTTTAAAAATAAAATAAATTAAAAAGTGACTAAAAATTAAAAAACAAACTGGGAGCTAAGGAGAGTGGAGATGGAGAATTATTATTTTTTTTAAATATATTTTTATTATTTACAGAAAGGAAGGGAGAGAGTTAGAAACATTGATGAGAGAGAAACATTGACCAGCTGCCTCCTGTACGTCCCCTACTAGGATGTGTCCGCAACCAAGGTAATATATGCCCTTGACCAGAATGGAACCTGGGACCTTCAGTCTGCAGTTTGTTAGGCCAACTGCTCTAACAAACCGGTTATGGCGGATGGAGAATTATTTTAATCAGGACCTCCCTCCTTAGCAATTGGTATGGGTGGTACCTGTCCTTAACTTTTGGTGGCAAAATGGAAGAGCAGTGAGAAGTCACACAGTGAAAAAGAAAATCCTTCCTATCCAGTGGGTCTGAAAAGCAGGACCTCAGGGCCCTTTGGTCTGGTAGAGAGCCCACTGGGAATGCACATGGGTGACCTTTAAATTAATGTCAGCGAGTCTGAGGTGACTGGCACCTGTTATCAGTACAGATTTCTTATCTTTATCCATGTGCTTGGAATGAGGAACAAATAGGACCTTGACTTACCCAGGTCTTGATATGCTAAATCCCAGGAATGAGGGAATGGAATAGGACCTGGGCACACCCAAAATTTATTTGACCTTAAACCCCCCTCTGGAAATCAATAAATGCGCTGTGTAGTCTGTGGTGGGGATTGACTGTCCCTCTATCAGAGTGACAGCATCCACCTGGCACCCAGATTTTGGATCTATTTCTGCCTCTTGTCTCTTTCTTTCTTTTATTTCTTAATCCCCAGCTCCTCCACTCAGGAACCCGTCCTTCTCCTGTCTCTAAACATCATCTTCCATAAATGTTCCTTGGGCACCATGTAAACCCCAGTGAGACTCAAACACTGACTCACCACAGGATGGCTGGTATTGGGGTTAAACTCTGTAGAATTGGCATCTGAAAAATAAAAAACATTTGTGTTATGAAAATAATTTACAAGCAAATCTGATTTTTTAAAAGTTTGATTCCTAAGCTCTAAATCACAATTACCTCTCCAGTTTAAAGTCATTCAGTGATTAGAACAAAAACTAGGGACAGTGTTTCAAAGCTATAAAATAAACACACAAAAGTAGTTTTTGTATTACATCTCTAATCCTCTGGGAGGTCAAAGCTTTACAAAATGAGGACCTGGAAACTAATGACATAAATAATCTTTATTTAGATAATACCTCCTTATGATGGTTCGTATACCATAATCTCAACTTTATTCACTTTTCGCTTCAGACTCTTTCCAAGATGGGCAAGAACTACCTCTTTCGTGCTCAGCACCTTATACCAGGCCCTACTCAACTGCCTCACTCAATAGCTAAACCAGAAATTAGCTGATTTCAAAATCCCAAGTAACCTTTCTATCCTTTACTGACCTTATCACCTGATCATAAGCAAAACCACTGAAGACTAACAGAAAACGCACCGAGCTCTGGTTCTGTGTGTCTGTTCGTTCTATCTGAACATGCAGGGCATCGTCCCCCTGCTGGGCCCAAACCCAGGCCAGGACTCACCAGGTCCCTCATCCACCTGGGAAGCCCAGTGGTGGCAGGAGGGTCAGCGGTGCCCAGAGGGCCAGCTCTAGGGTGGTGGGGGCTAAGTCAGTACCCGCCAGCACAGAAGCCAGAGCCTAAGGGCACGCTGCCTACAAAAGTGAGCCACCTCGCCCTTAGCTCAGAAAAAAATGTGAACTGAGATCAGCCTGTTAACAGCGAGCTGGCCACAGGAGGATCACAAGTGCTTTGTAAAGCCAGACCACTGGTTCATTCCTACTTTTCATTCTTTCATGTTGCTGTGTTTTTCTTAGAACTCATAAGGTCTTTCTGAAAATCTAGTACCTGTTGGCTGGGCTACAGAGGACAAAGGGGTTGTGGCAGACTCTCCCAATGGTGGCCCAATGAACCACACCCCAGTATTCACATCGCGAGGTTGTTCTCCTTGGCCACAGACATCAGCAAGCTCGATAGGGGCTTGCACAGTGGGCTTGTCATTGTGGAAGCCAATCTTGTCTCCACTCCATGAGGAAGCTCAGCCTGAATTAGTGACTGAGGAGCTGCCACATGGAGAGACCTTGGCAATGTCCCTGCTGGGCAGAGCTGAGGGCAGGGCAGGGTGATCTCAGCCACACTGCACGGAGGAAGCCAGTCACCTCACAGAATACAGGGAAATAAACCACTGTGTTGGAAGCTACCAGTGAGGATGGTCTGGACACAGTGATACCCTTAGCCAGGCACAGAGTTGACATGATAATTTTCCATTTCCAGGCCCTGAGCTGGGACTATTTATGTGTAACTTCATTTACCATGTGAATGGGTACTTTACTAACCCATTTTATAGTTGTAACAGAGGCCCCAAAAAACTGAGGAATTTGCCTAGAATCACCCATAATCTATAATAATAAAAGCATAATATGCTAATTAGACCAGATGTTTGGTCGACCTTCTGGATGACCTTCCAGACAAAGCTGGGGCTGTGAGGGCGGAGCCCCTTGCACGAATTTCATGCACCAGGTCTCTAGTAAATGATAAAGTTTGAATGGAACCCTAGTCTAACCAGCTCAGTTCATAAAAACTGCGCTGCCTCACACAGGCCAGAGTTCTCCCGCTGGACACCAGCTCAGGGCGATGGCCATGGGGAGGAAGTGTGAGGATCTCCAGAACAGGAAGTGCCGGAGAGAGAGCTAGCTCAGTTGGGTTCCCGCCTCCCTGGGGTTTTGCTTAGAAGGGGCCTGCTTTCTCTCAATAAATGTCCCTATTAATGCACCCCAAGAGGTACTGAGACTGGGCGGGCCGGTCCTTCTCCACGGCTCCCAGTGACCCACAGGCACCAGGCTTTGTGCCCTCCAGGGATTTAAAAAGTTTTTAAGTAGACACTTACCTTCCCATCCCAGCACATTTCTTGAAAATTCAACCACTGCCAACTGCATGCCTAAGCACACGCCTTGCAAGTGGGAGAGAAACAGGAATGAACTCCATGGAAAAGGTGACATTCCCACATTTCCCACGGCCTGCCCGGGGCTGAGTCCTGCTGTACACAGCATCCCCACAAACTCTCTAACTTCCTGCTGTGAGCAAGCCCCCCTGCTATGCTTTATCTGCATCGGACTCTAAAACTGGACCCAAGTGTATGTAAAGGCTCCAGGTTTCAGAAGTTATTCAATTCCAATATCCTATTCAGTACTTTAAAAAGTCCAGTTTTCCTACCCCCTTTTATTCAGTTCCCGTTTATAACTGGTCAAGTTGAAAATTCCTAAAATTTACAGCACAAGGAAGAATCTCAAATCACTTCACTTTATTACAGTCAACTGGTGCTTTAAGTGAGGATGGAAAACAGTTCCCTAAGTCTTGCCTAAAACCAAGTTCAGTAAATAAACAGGATTCATTCTTTGACAATTCCATGACAACTACATGCAACTCACAAGTTTAATCTCTCATTTTAAAGGAGGGTTTGCATTTCTCCCACACAGAACCAAAAGGCTTGATGGACTGACTATCTGGAAAGATGGCACCTGTGTTTGGGCTGGAATCCTGTTTCCCTTACAGGTTACAGGCACCTTCCTTGTGCTCTTTTCCACTTCTTACCCAGAAAAGGCTTCTTTTGCTTCCGAGCCCAGGAGATAGCGTGGATTTTTCCTTCCGTCCCTCGAACACCAAATCCGCCCGGAACCAGCACTCCACTGTTCAAGAGAGCACACCACAGGCGACCCCCTTTCCACCAGTCCAGCTTTCAGTGACCAGCCAAAGAGCCATATCCAAGACACAGAAGCCATGAAGTTACTCCTTACACTTTGCTACTGTGATTTCAGGCTGCCAGAAAGCTGAATGGAAACACTAAGAACTTAGAAAACACACACAAAACCATGGACTTTTCTCAGTGACGTTACAAACTGCTAACAAGTAAAAAAAAGATGGCATGCAAAGTTGTATTACTGCTATCACACAGTATTTGTCCCAGGCTTGGGACAAATCTGTATTAATATAAATGCTATTTTTTTAACCAGGGGCTTTTCCTGGTCAGCTTGTGTGCCACACTGACCTAGGGTCTCAACCACAGCTACATGCTCCTGTAACATTCAATTCTTCTGGGGAACCAGAAATTCTTGTTCATGTTTTACGATTATAAATAGCAGCTGCTGAAAACAAACTACTTATGAGGCTCTACCAACAGATACTAATCAAATATTCTCGATAAAAATCTCTCTATATAAAAGCCTAAGTGACTGAATGACCAGTCAATCAGTTGCTATGACATATACTGACAACCAGGGGGCAGATGCAGAACCTCCTGTGGCTCTGCACCCCCCAACCCCGGCCAGCCCCAATTGGCCTTGATCAGGGCTGGCCAGCTAACTTCCTGCGGCCATCGCTCCCTCCCCCCCCCCCCAAACTGGCCCAATGGCCCCAATCAGGATGACCAACCTCCCGCGCCACACCCCAGCCAGCTTATCCTGATTGGAACCTCCTACAGCTCCTCCCCCCATGGCCTCTCCTTTTCCTGGCCAACCTCCCACTGCCCTGATTGGCCCTGATCACCAGCCAGGCCAAGGGACCCCACCCGTGCACGAATTTGTGCACCAGGCCTCTAGTCTTTAAATAAACCTCACCAACAGATGCAATAAAACTAGAACAAGTTCTCTTCCGCTCCAATAACACGAATGAGCTGTATTTTGGTAAGGTTTAAATCATCCAGGATGCAGTCTCTTCAATAATTAAAGACATTTAAACAAGCAGATTTACTACCAGCACACAAAAGCACAGCACTTCGCCTGCGGACACAACCCAAGACCCCTGAAAACCAAGGGCAGAGCTACTCACTGAGCGCTGCAGAGCTTCTGCCAGGCCTCGTGGTAGCGCACGGGCTCCTCCTGCAGGGTGCTCGGCTCCAAGTCCGTGGAATCGATGTACTGGCGCAGCAGACCGGAGAAAAGAAGCAAGTTAACGACGTCAGAGCTGCGAACTGATCTTTCCTAATTTCTAAACAGTATTATCAATGCCCCATCTTTCCCAATTTTAAAGTAGTTTTAAAATGATACTTGACTTTCAAATCCTTTCACTCATACCTAAGAGACCTCCCTGACTTTCTAGTCACCTCTCACCTCCACCATCTAACACAGGAGAGGCACAGACTACCTCCAAGTGGAGATAACGAATGACGCAAAGAACTAGCAAAAAGTAAACCAGGCAGTGTAATGAAATCCCATAATTCTTTAAGAACATGTAATAGGTCGTTCTACAGGAACCTGTTCACCAGCAAACTAAACTATCACCCTGGGGCACACTGGAAAAACAGGCATACTCCAGCGTCGCTGGTGAGGACACTGCTCCAGCTGGGGAGTCGAGATGCTTGGGAAAACGTATAACCTTTGCTGCTTTTTAAACAGGTATTTTAAAGGGACAGGTGCAAGGTTTTCCAAAAGAGCTAACACACACAGTACTTCCTCTATGCCAGGCAAAGCACTAAGCACTTTATATGAACTCATTTTATTTTTTAAAAGTCCTATGAGGAAGGTACTATCACTATCCTTTGTTAAAGGAGAGGAAACTGAGGCACAAAGAGGGTTAAGTAACTTGCCTGGAGTCACATATCTTGTAAGCGAGGGAGCCAGAACCTGAGCCCTGGCTGTGTGACTCTGGAATCCATGGACCTCGACACTTTACCGCCTCAAGGAGACAGGCAGGGGCCACGCCTGACAGTCCACCGCTCGGCTTCTGACCACACATCAGAGCAGAGCAGGTACCTGCTATTTACTGGGTGCTGCCCCCATTCCCAGTACTGACTCAGCGACTAGACATGTGCTTTGGAGAAACCTCCCAGCTCTATGTGGTGGATATCAGCAATACCAGCAATTGTGCAAAGTGCCTCTGGCCAGCCAGGGCTCCCCCATCCCCTTGGAGCAATTTTACTTTGTTGTTTGATATTCAGATCCAAGCATTCACTCTCTCAGCTTCCGTTCTGACCACCTCTCCCTTCATTACTTCCTAAAAATGCTCTACTGTTCCCTGAAAGCCAGGGGCCCACCATAACTCGTTTTAATCCTAAAAATTATGAGCTTCAAAAGTATAAAGCAGATACACAGCATCTACGGACTGCAGACAGCCTCCCTGTTCCTGCCTCCGCTGCACCAGCACCACCCTCCTCACCTTGATGTCCAGCTTGTGGTTGATGGCCAGGGCGGAATGCTCCAGGGCTTTAATGACGGAGGCATAGGAGTCTGAGAACTTAGTATACTTGCCCACAAGGGCAATAGAGCAGGTCTCCAGCAAGCGATCATATCTATCAATCAGAGGTCAGAAACCACATTATTTAGAATGTACATATGACCACGTACATACAAACATGAGACCTAAATTCCTTTTTAAAGAGAAGAAAAACAAGTCTGGGAAGAATTTACTGGAAACAGTTATTATCTGAGTCCTATGTACCCAGCAGAAAAGAGCAAATAATTTTCAGATCAATGTGGCTGGCTTTTTAAGAAAATGGGATTTTAGCCGGGACCGGTTTGGCTCAGTGGATAGAGCGTCGGCCTGCGGACTGAAAGGTCCCGGGTTCGATTCCGGTCAAAGGCATGTACCTTGGTTGCGGGCACATCCCCAGTAGGGGGTGTGCAAGAGGCAGCTGGTCGATGTTTCTCTCTCATCGATGTTTCTAACTCTCTGTCCCTCTCAATTCCTCTCTGTGTAAAATCAATAAAATATATTTAAAAAAAAAAAAAAGAAAAGAAAATGGGATTTTAGAAGCTGTTACAAAGAGATGGCTTCAAAGTCACACAAAATGTTTTACAAAAATATTAAAATCCCAAAGGACAAAAAAAAATTGACCAACAGTTCACAAGAGTTAATGTGTGATGAAAGGTATATAGTCAAATATGTTATAGGACATCCACACAATAGTCCATATTCATTACATTATAAAATATAATCAGCAACAGAGCAATAATATTTATAATACTTTATGGAAAAAAGCCCTAAAACAGTGCCTTTTTTGTAGCTACATGAAGATATGCATGTAAATGGACTAAGACTGAAAGGGAAAATGTCAAAATGAAAACATCACAGCAGTGGCATGAGTGGCTCCCCGTCCCACGTGCTTACTACACCCAGTGCCTGGGGCGCTGCGTGAAATGCCTGCTGTGAGAGGTGAGCAACATGCAGCCTCAGGAGGAGAGTGGGGACAGCTTTCAAAGTGGTAGCCGGAGAAGACTGACTTCCTTGCTGATCTTTTCCTGGTGTAGGGTGAGTGACATGTTCCCAAACACGGCGCAGATATTTGGATGCTACCCATGTGCTCGCTTCGGCCGCACATATACTAAAATTGGATGCTACCCAGGAGTGTTCCAGCCACGGCAGCCATCGGTGTGGGCTCAGGCATGTGTGCTTACCCACTGTCACTAGGGCGCCTGGTGACTTTCTAGTCGACCGGAAACAAGGGTGTCAGTGTGTGATCTGAACTCACTTGTGGCCTGGGACCTAGGCCAACTCTACCAGGACTTCCTTGTCCATGATACAACTACGTGAAGGCTGAGAGCCTTGCTTAGTGCTTCTTCCCATGTGTAACCTTTTCTAACATGAGCTGATAGCACACGTAAGAGCCGAGTTCCCCGAGCCCTTACAAAGAAGAGAAATAGCTCGAGTTCCCAGCTCCTTATTATGAAGCAAACCTGTCAGCCATCTCTTTCCACTTCATCAGCATTCTCCGTGGCTGCCTCTCGATAGGAAGGTCAAGTCTTCGAAGAAAATAATCTACAACCCCCTGCTCCTCTAATAACAAGGGTACTCGGTAGATGGACGAGACATCATGGACACAGATCACCTGTTTAAAAAGCAGCAAAGGTTATTTTATAAAAACTAATGGGCTGACGGTCTCCTACTAGCTATCTGATCTTGAGAAAATAAATTTGAGAGAAAAGAGGACAATTTTTTAAGAAAGATATAAATTACCAAAACCAATTAACTCAAGAAGAATTAAAAAATAGTGACTACTGAAGGGTCAATTCCGGTCAAGGGCATGTACCTTGGTTGCGTGCATAACCCCAGTAGGGGGTGTGTAAGAGGAAGCTGATCGATGATTCTCTCTCATCGATGTTTCTAACTCTCTATCTCTCTCCCTTCCTCTCTGTACAAAATCAGTATATTAAAAAAAAAAAAAATAGTGACTAATCTCTTATGAACATGGATGTAAATATATTTTTCATAATTTATTTTTATTGATTTCAGAGAGGAAGGGAGAAAGAGAGATAAAAACATCAATGATGAGAATCATTCATCATCATGCCTCCTACTGGGGATTGAACCCACAACCCCAACATATGCCCTGACTGAGAAGTGAACAGTGACCTCTTGGTTCATAAGTCAACGCTCAACCACTGAGCCACAACAGCTGGGTGGATACAAATATCTAAATAAATAAATAAATAAATAAATAAATAAATAAATAAAATCACAAACTTAAACTACAAATGCTGTTTAAAAAAGAAATTCATGTTCAAGTGTTCAAGGAGGATTTGTCACCAGAATAGTGGTTCTCAAATTTGATTATGGAACCACCTGGGGGAGCTTTTAAAAATCTGTAAGCCTGCTGCACTCCACACCATCTCTGGAAGTAGGAGGCAGCATCAGTATTTTCAAATTTAAGTTTCAGAATCACCACACTAGAAAATTTAACAGTGTGAGACTCAAAACATGAACAGATTAAAGGAGAGGAAGAGAATACCTTGGTGGATGCATGTTTAATAAAAATTCAAAACCTATTCATAATAAAAATTATTGGTAAATTAGAAATTTTATGGAAACTATAAAAAACCCAGAGCTAACATCATTTAGTTTGCTATTTAATACTAATGCAAAAGTCTGGAACAAGTCAAAACAGGCCGCTATTACTATTTCTAGTCAGTGATGTACTAGAGATATTAGCCATTACAATTACATTTTAAAATATGTATATGACCTGAAAAATAAACAATTATCACTAACTGTATACAATATTGTTTAATCCATAAAAAAACACACAAGAAAATGTATATGTAAACAATCAGAACTAACAGAATTTAATTAATGTTAGCTTGCCTTGAAATCAATGGGCAGAATTCAGCAGGGTTTCCTATATATAGATATATCTACTCAAGAAATATAATTTTTTAAAATATACCATTCACATAGTAAATTATAAATACCTGTGAATAAACCTGAAGTCTTAACAAAGATAAATCTAAAAAGCATCTTTATAAAGAAAATTATACAGGATTAGACCAAATCTAATGATCGGGTTGCATGATCGAGGCTGGGGAGGAATGCTGGCCAGCTGGGGAGGGACCGTGTGAGGGCTCCAGGGTATGTCTGGCCCATCTCGATCAGTCCCAATCGGCCAAACCCCAGCAGCAAGCTAACCTACCAGTTGGAGCATCTGCCCTCTGATGGTCAGTACTCGTCACAGCGAGCAGTTGAGTGGCTTTAGCATATCATTAGCATATTATGCTTTGATTGTTTGAACAGACAACTGGAGGACCAGTCTCTTAGCATATGAGGCTTTTATTATATAGGATTATTGAAAGATAGTCCTGTCAACAAACGGAGCTAGAACTGGATATAGGCAAAAAGATGACTTTCAACTTTTATTAAAAAGTTACTATATATAAAAGTTAACTCACAATGGATCCTAGACCTAAACACAAACCTAAAATTGTAAAACTTTTATAAGAAAACATAGAAGAGCCGGGACCGGTTTGGCTCAATGGATAGAGCGTCGGCTTGGGGACTGAAGGGCCCCGGGTTCGATTCCAGTCAAGGGCATGTACCTTGGTTGCGGGCATATCCCCAGTAGGGGGTGTGCAAGAGGCAACTGATCAATGACTCTCTCTCATTGATGTTTCGAACTCTCTATCTCTCTCCCTTCCACTCTGTACAAAAATCAATAAAATATATTAAAAAAAAAAAAAAGAAAAAAAAGAAAACATAGAAGAAAATCTTCATGATCTTGGTTAAACAGAGTGCTTAGATATTATACCAAAAGTACAATCTATAAAGAAAAATGGACACAAAACCGGTTTGGCTCAGTGGTAGAGCGTCAGTCTGCGGACTGAGAGGTCCCAGGTTCGATTCCGGTCAAGGGCATATACATGGGTTGTGGGCACATCCCTGGTAGGGGGTGTGCAAGAGGCAGCTGGTCGATGTTTCTCTCTCATTGACATTTCTAGCTCTCTATCCTTCTCTGCTCCTCTCTGTAAAAAATCAATAAAATGTATTTTTTTTTAAAAATGTAGTTTATATAAAAGTAAAAGCTTTTTGTGCTTCCAAAGATACCATTAAGAAAATGAAAATAGTTGAAACTGGTTTGGCTCAGTGAATAGAATGTTGGCCTGCGGTCTGAAGGGTCCAGGGTTCGATTCTGGTCAAGAGCATGTACCTTGGTTGCAGGCACATCCCCAGTAGGGGGTGTGCAAGAGGCAACTGGTCGATGATTCTCTCTCATCGATGTTTCTAACTCTCTACCCCTCTCTCTTCCTCTCTGTAAAAAAAAAAAAAAAAAAATCAATAAAATATATTTTAAAAATGAAAATATAAGCCATAGACTGGGGAAAAAAAAGTGCAAATCATATTTGATAAAAGTTCAGAATATATAAAGAACTCCTAACAATAAGATAAGCAACACAATTTTAAAAACAGGCATAAGATTCAAATTCAAATTTAAATATAGAAATACTTGTCACATGTTTAAAGTGAATAATTTTAATGACAACCTACTCTACAATATTATAGAATTGAATTACTTCGTTTGCTAGGATAGAAATATCTACAATAATGAAGAAGTGCAGAAACATTTTTCTCAGTCTGTTGAGATCTTGCTTCCAGGTGTGACCTCTGATTTGGCTCAAATCCTATATTAAAACCCTAATATGCAGCTGAAACCGGTTTGGCTCAATGGATAGAGCGTCGGCTTGGGGATTGAAGGGTCCCGGGTTTGATTCCGGTTAAGGGCATGTACCTTGGTTGCGGGCATATCCCCAGTAGGGGGTGTGCAGGAGGCAGTTGATCGATGATTCTCTCTCATCGATGTTTCTAGCTCTCTATCCCTCTCTCTTCCTCTCTGTAAAAAATCAATAAAATATATTAAAAAAAATATATAATAATAATAAAATTTCTGCAGGTTTGGACACTTACTTTGAAAAACATAGCCACTTTTTTAGCACCACCATGCACAGCTCAAGAGTAACTTAGCTAATTTGCAGCTATAGAAATTCCTTCTTGGACTTATTAACATCAATAGGAATTTCTTCCTTCTATTCATATAATTATTCTGTTTTTCTTTCTCATAGAAACATCTTGCTTTCACCTACTAATTAGAACAATATTAGGGATTCTACCCGAATCAGTGCTTCCCAAATAGCAAAAACCCAAATAAACAACAATTGAAATACATGGTAAAAAGGCTGTTCATGCCCAAGCTGGTCTGGTTCAGTGGTTAGAATGTCAGCCCCTGGACTGAAGGGTGCCAGGTTCCATTCCAGTCAAGGGCACATATCGTAATTGCAGGCTCGATCCCCAGCCCTGGTCAGGCTGCATGTGGGAGGTTAACAATTCACGTTTCTTTTTCACAATGTTGCCTCCCTCTCTCTCTGCCTCTCCCCCTCCCTTCCATTCTCTCTAAAAATCAACGTAAAAAATATCCTCGAGTGAGGATTAACAAACAAACAAAAAAGGCTATTCATAACAGTGAAATTATTCTTACACATATGTGTTATGAAGCCCTCTGAGAGGGCTCCCAGCTCAGGAACCACACCCAGGAACACTGCTCTCAGGCCCAGGCTGCACTCACTCCCTGAAGCTTGTGACATCATGGAAATGGAGATGACAGTTGCTCTGTAATGGGGAAAGGCTTTCCTCTTGCTCTGTTCCCTTTAATGCCAGGAAATGATTTTAATGTTTTTATATTCAAATCCATACTCCTGGTAGTCTTATAGATGGATTTCCCTTATCTTAACCCTGCTGCTTCATTCTCCCCTCTCTGTCTCCTGACCTTCAAATAATCTAGCAGCAAAACAAAGCATCTATCTATAACTTAATCACAAAACCCCTCAAATCCATAAAAACTCTTTTGGCCAAACCTGACCAACTTATCACTACTAGAATTTCTATACCATGCACCATACTTAAGACATATTACAATTCCAAAATTTTGAATTTCCTGTACCATAGGTACCCTTCAGAAGTACAGGTAACAGAAAAGACTAAAATACGTTTAGAGCCTACAACACCTTAGCCACCAGACACCAAGAATATCAAGTTGAATAAGGTGAGCCCTGTCCTCAAGAAGCTCAAAGTCTATTAAGGGAAACACACAGACACACATAAGGGGCAGTATAATAGCTCACCACCAGCACCTGTGAGCCCAAAGAAAGATCAAATTGAGGTTTAAGTGTGATAAGGTTTGACAGGTAAAGCTGCTCAGATAATACTGTGTCCTAGCTGGGCCCAAAGGAAGAAAATGAACAGGATTGTGAGGCCAAGAGGGAGGCGGGGGTAGCGAGGGGGGGGGGGGGAGGATGTGTGGACACCATTCAGCATGGCTACAAAAGATAATACAAGTGGGGAGAGAAGAGGCGGGAGAGGAAAAGTACATTGGGGAACCACAAGACAAGGTCATGGAGTCACAGAGCCAACAGATTCAGTTCTTCTAGGGAACAGTCTGTGGTCTCAAATCCCTTACAAAACTGGTTAAGCCTTACAAAACTGGTTAAGAGACTTCAGGATAATCAGGAGCAAAAAGTGATCCATGTGAAGATGGAGCTTCTACTCACTTGTTCAGGTTCAACATGGCAGAACATAGATATTTTCTCTTTCACTGATGTGTCAAGAGGATTTGCACACCTGCACACAACCTGGTAGTAAAAGAAAGCAAGACAGTAAGAATGGCTTACAAAGCTGGGCTTTCTCCTAATTGAAACGAAAACAGACATCCTAGCACAACGCATACATATTATGACAATATTATCTGTTTGTAAAACTTAAAATTCCCAAATCCCAAACTGGAAAAACAGACATGATTTCTGCACTACAAGAGGCAAACGGGTTTCCTCAATGTTCTTGGTTAGGAGGGAAGAGAGAATAAATGATTCGCTGAGAGAAGAAATAAGACTCAACCATGTATTATACATGCCAGATAAGGAAATACTTGTAAACTACAGCCCCAGTTCAAAGAACTAGACCTATTTCTCCACCATCCACTTAAAAGCATGCCAAGAAAACAAAGGGCTTGGGTGCCACAGAAGATCATGCTCAAACCAAGTAATAAGGACACCTTACCAGATCTGGGGAAAGCCCAAGGCCTCTGAGTTCCCGAACACTATTCTGGGTAGGCTTAGTCTTCTGTTCCCCTGTTGAACTTGGCTATTTTATAAAAGAAAAAAAAAAAAAAAGTTACTTGCTCTATGGTAGGAATTTTCAAGTCTGAATTTTCCCTGAACCCCCTTTTTAATGGGAAATAAATTTGATCTTTTAATTAGTTTTTATTTTTGTAAAACTTACACATCACATATTTTAGAGTCAAATAGTTCTACAAAGTTTGTCCTTAAGACCAGAGATAAAATCTAGAGACGGCCAGCCACTCTTTCACTCTTTTAACTGATCTCTCTAGTACACTTTATTGCTGATTCCTGACTTATAGTTTGAGGCATTTTTTATTGATTTCCCGGTTACATTCAACACTTGCAACCATTCTGAGCATGCATCCCCCACTTCACGATCCCTCACCAGTGTTTGTGACTTTTGAAAGTAATTAAATACTGTTCACCATTAGCCATGTGGCATACTTTTCCTTTCTGGTCCAAATGTTTGTTTTCTGTGTGGCTTTCTGTTTTGTTTTGTTGGTATGCAGAGTTTTCTATGTATTAAATTATCTTTATTCTCCTCTCACACTTAACAGATACATTTACTAGGTATAGAATTCTAAGGTGAAAATCATTTTCCCAAGAATTTATAAGGAAACAGCTTCACTGTTAGCTTCCAGTATTGCTGATGAAAAGTTGAATGCCATACCGATTCTTGATGTTTCTCTTCAGAGCCCTTTAAAATTTCTTACCCATTATTCTGAAATTTCACAAGGATGTGCCTTGGTGTGGAGGTTCATTTTTCATTCAATATGTTAGGCATTCAGTGGGTCCTTTCAATCTAAAACCTCATGTCTGGAAACTTCTTTGACTTGTTTAGAATAAAAAATTCTTTTTCTATGAAGGGCCATATAAGTATTTTAGGTTTTGTTGGCCATGCATTCTCTGTCACAACTACTCAACTCTGCTCTTTTAATACAAAAGCAGCATGGACAATATATAAACCTAAGGGTGTGGTCATATTTCCATATACTTTTTAAAACAGCTGGGTTGATTTGACCTGTGGCATAGCTTATGGACCCCTGGTTCAGAATCTTTCCCTCTCCATTTGTTATTTTTTGGGACACCCTATTATTTGGATGTTAGAACTCCTGGACCATTCCTCAACTTCCTTGGTTTTTCTCTCTTATCTTTCTGTTCTTCTTCCCAGCATATTTCATCAACTTTCTTTCTCTTAAAATTTTCAGTTCTGTTATCTAATTTTTTTAAATTTATTTTTAAAATATATTTTTATTGATTTTTTACAGAGAGGAAGGGAGAGAGTTAGAGAGCTAGAAACGTCGATGAGAGAGAAACATCGACCAGCCGCCTCTTGCACACCCCCCACCGGGGATGTGCCCGCAACCAATGCACATGCCCCTGACCGGAATCGAACCTGGGACCTTTCAGTCCGCAGACCGATGCTCTACCACTGAGCCAAACCGGTTTCGGCCTGTTATCTAATTTTTAATCCCCAAGAATTTTCTATTCTCTGAACATTCCCTTCTTGGGTATCCAGCTTTGTCAAATTGATGCAGTTTATCTCCCTTTAATTCTAAAGATATTAATGACAGATTGTTTTATTTTCTCTAAGTTTCCTGCTCCCTGCAGAGCTTTAACTTCCTCTAGTTTTCTTTTTTTCCTATTGTTTTGATCACTGGCTACCAGGTCATATGGAGAAGGTAAGTGGAAGTTCCGTGAAAGTGCATGGACTTGTGCACTCTGGGAATCTGGCTGGCCTTGGTTCACTGGGGAGTCTCTGAAGGCAGTGTTTTTTTCTCCTTCTTACAACCTCCTACATGGAAGGTCCAAGCCTGGCTGTGATGTTTATGGGAACCAAGTGGAAGAAGATAGGGTGTCTCCAAAGCATCAAATTACACTCCCTTCCCCCATCTCTGTTTTTAGTTCAGTATTACTGCCCTCAAATATCCCTAGTGTCTGCTCATTCAGAATCTCTCTTCAGAGAAAAAAAGCTCCAAGTCTTCGGCCAAGGTGGGAGTGGGGCTAGTGCCCCGCAGTGCATATTAGGGAAGGATGGAGCTCATAACTGCTATTCCAGAAGCAGCCAACCCCTTGGGGTCTAACTGCTTCTGGAACGGCAGTTGTGAGCCCCCCCTTTCTCCCCCTACCAGAAGTACCTGAGGCTGCCCTTCCTGCACCTCTGGGGGCTTTGAAGGGCAAACTGGATTGCTTCTCTTTTCCTGATGCAGGCTGAGGATCCAGCTCTCCCAGGTCTGCTAAGTCAGTTTCTACATGTCCACCTGCTTTCTGTCTTCCTAATTTTTGTTACTGCTCACTCCTCTCTCAGTATTTATCTTTGTGAATTTTTGTCTATATAAAAATTCCCTTCACCACAGTTGTCATGGGCTTCACCATGTGGTTAAAGACAAATAGATATGGTCAGTCCACCAGCTTTAACTGCAACGTCCCTAATTATTTCCCCAAATGTTTCCCACTGGATCTTTTCATAAAGTATGACTGTAATTTAAAGTACACAAAGAAGTTTTTATTTTCTGCTTCCTGCAGCTCAAATATTTAAAACAGAAAAGGAGTGAAAATCATTCTTTTCTCCCTCTTCTCCATCACTCCAAAGTTTTAAATGACTTACCTGAGGAACTAGGCTGACGTGAATATTACAGAAGTTCTCTCTTTTGACCTTGAATTGGAACTGACGGAAGGCCTCAATAAAGGGCATGCTTTCTATATCTCCCACTGTTCCACCGAGCTAGAGGAACAAAGTTATTTTAGAGGTTAAACACTAAACTTCCCTCCTGTGGGTTACTTTTCTGACAGTAATTAGGTATTTCTTAGTGCTTAAAGATTACTTTTTTTGGATGAGTTTACCATTCCCCAGGATTATCATGGATCTTTTCAAGAAAAATGTCTGATGAAAGATGTACTAAAAATTTTAATTGTAGAAGAGTCATAGAGCAACCTAAATCTTATCCACAAAAAACTTTTGTATTAAAAAGCATCAGTTGCAGCCTACCCCACAGGGTTGAACATCTACCTATGAACCAGGACAGTGGTAGGCAAACTCATTAGTCAACAGAGCCAAACATCAACAGTACAACAATTGAAATTTCTTTTGAGAGCCAAATTTTTTAAAGTTAAACTTCTAACGCCACTTCTTCAAAATAGACTCACCCAGGCCTTGGTATTTTGTAGAAGAGCCACACTCAAGGGGCCAAAAAGCTGCATGTGGGCTAGTGAGCCGCAGTTTGCTGACCACAGAATCAGGAAGTCACAATTCAATTCCCAGTCAGGGAACATGCCCAGGTTGTGAACTCAACCCTCAATGGGGCATGCAGGAGGCAGCTGATCAATGATTCTCTCTCATCATTGATGTTTCTATCTCTCTCTCCCTCTCCCTTCCTCTCTGAAATATGTGTATACGTGTGTACGTATATGTATATGTACATATACATACATACATATAATTTTTTTTTTTAATTACCAGTTACAAACTAGCTGCTGGATCTCCTATTTTGCAGGAACAGAGATCCAATAGCCAGGATCAGCAAAGCAAGAGTATAGAAACTGAAACCAAAAGAGGCTCATTCATTCAGAGAAACACAAATGTGTCACAGTCCACACCACGTAGATAAATGCTGAAAAAGGAGAATTGCTCAGGCAAAGTATCAGTTTGACTGCACAGCCGATCCACATGACTGTTGCTCTGCATTCACCTGCCACATCACAGTCAGGAGGGTCAAGGGCTTCGCCGCTGATGGCTGACTAAGGAGGTGAATAGTCCACTTGGCCACCCACCCAAGAATCACAGAGTTTAGAAAAGACTATACACACCTCGATAACACACACTTGAGGTTCCAGGCCGTCTTCATCCACAGGTATTAACGCCTGTCTCATTACCCACTCCTGGATTGCATCTGTGATATGAGGAACAACTGGGAAGGAAAAAAAAAAAAAGGGTGATGACTCACACTTTTCCATCAGCATAGATGAGGAAGACACACTTTACCTTTAACAGCAAACGGCTGCATGCTTTGCCTTCACAGAGAGGCAAAGGGATCACAAAAATATTTTTTTTAAGTATATTTTACTGATTTTTTTACAGAGAGGAAGGGAGAGAGATAGAGAGCTAGAAATGTCAATGAGAGAGAAACATCGACCAGCCACCTCCAGCACACCCCTCACCGGGGATGTGCCCGCAACCAAGGTACATGCCCTTGACCGGAATTGAACCCGGGACCTTTCAGTCCACAGACCAACGCTCTACCACTGAGCCAAACCGGTTTCGGCCACAAAAATATTTTTGAGACCACTCTGAAATGACCTTAAAAAAAATCTTTGGGCTCCTGCTCCCACGCCTCAGTCTCCTTTCCAGATTCCCAGTTGTGGCCCGATACACTAGAGGAGAGTAAGATTGAGAGTGGCGTCCTACCCAATCAGAGTTCATCAAGTGCACCTATTCACCTCAGTCAGCCATCAGCAGCGAGGCCCTTGACCCTCGTCCACATCAGGACGCCACTCTGACTCAGGGTGTGGGTCAGAGTAGCATCCCACACCCTTAGTCGGTCTACCCTGGCTGCACAACCATAACCACACGGCAGACCACGTGGCCACTCTACTGCTTACCTGGGTGCTTTTCAAGGAACAAGAGAAAGCAGGACCCTGTTCCATTAGGTTTCCAGATTCCCAGAGGGGAGACAATGCACACGAGACAGTACAGTTAGGAGCATAACCTCTGCGCTCAGAATGTCTGGATTCACATCTCCGTTCTACCTCTCATTAGGGGTGGATTTTTGGGCAAATTACTTAACTATTCTTAAGCTCAATTTCCCTCTCCATTAACTGGAGATAATAGTTTCTCCTTCATAAAGCTGTGGAAATCACATGAGATAGCACTGGTAAATGCTAAGTAGAGTGCCTAGCGTGTCAATGCTCAATAAATGTCAGCTATTGCTAAAAACTTTTAAAAATCTTAACTGTTAGATTCTGATAACAAAATCCCAAGGGGCAGAGATTACTGTTTAACTTGCTATGTATAGAGCCAGAAGTGCCTCAAGCACAAGGAAATTTATTATCAATTCCATACACAGCAGCTACAGTGATCTTTCAAAAATGCAAATCAAAGTTCACCACTCTCTGAATTTATGCTCTGAGTAAAATCTAAATTCCAGGTCAGGTGGTAGACCCCAGATGACCTTGCTGCAACTCCGACCTCTCACCATCATCACCCTGGGTCACTGTGCTCAGCCTTAACAGCTCCTCGTTTCCCTGGTGAAGACCTTTGCAGCCTTGGGACTTGGTACATGCCACGCACCCTCCTCCCTCCGTTCCTCCCATGGCTAGCCTCTCGGCTCATACATCCTCTCCTTGGAGGTTTTCCCTGAGCACCTGTCCAACTGGCTCTCCCCACTACTTTCTCTATCTCTCTTCACTCTTCTTCCATCACAGCTCCTAACAGACACCTCATTCCCTCTGTGTGTCACCTCCACGAGAGCAATGGCCTCTCTGGATCTTCAAAGATTCCCAGCATCAGGGAGGTCTGACTACCAGGAATGAGCATTTACAACATATTTGATGAGTGAATGAGTAAATGGACAAATACACTGGAGGCTAGAAAAATGAACTATATAATCAAGGTCATTATAATTCCAAATTGATCCCTTTGTGTGTGTCAGGAACTCAAGAAAAACTCTTTACTGACTTAGCTCCTTTAATCCTCCTAACATCCAGGAGAAGTAGACACTGTTATTATCATCTTCATTTTACAAAAAAGGAAACTAGACCTGAGAGGTTAAGTAGTCCACCTATGTTCATAAAGTTGGTAAGTGGCAGAGCTAAGGTGTAAACATGACCTGATTAGTCTAGAGTCTGGTCTAAGGTAGCTCACTGTCACAGGGACTTTTGGCTTTTGGTCCAGTAAAGCCTAAAGCCAAAAGCAGATCTATTCCCCTAACCCAGGTGAAAGCCACTTTTTAGCAGCCCCAAAAGTGTATGTATGTCATTATACTAGGTCAGTGGTTTTCCAACCCCACCTTTTTCAAACCAGCACTTTTCTCAAATGAACCACTATGCAAACCCTAAGACAGCAAACATACAAGTGAAACTGGGCTGGTGACAGCTCAAGAGGACTGAGACCCACTTACCAGATCCCCTAACCCATTTGCACTGATGAGTAGCCTAAAATCAATGCACATGATGCATGCTTTTCCCCTGCCACCACCTATACACAGACACAGCAACCATACACACATACAGACACACTCTCTGACAAACTTATTGTCCTAACCTAGTTGCCTTCAGCACTTCACACTCATCACTGTACTGTATAAAGACAACTGCTCTCTGGACTCAAATCACACCACCAGACTGACAGCTTTAGTGCCATCCACAGGGCTTTGATGGCTTCTTCAAGTTATTTTTTGAGTCAACTGAAGGCTAATAAAAAGCTAATATGCAAATAGACCAAATGGTGGAACAAAACTGGTCACTATGACATGCGCTGACCACCAGGGGGTGTTCGAGGAACATGGAGGGCGTGGCCGCAGTGGGATGGTGGAGGTTAGTGGGGGTGACAGACTAAGGCAGGGCACTGTTCGCTGCCACCAGTGGGTGAGCCACTGGTGGTTACTGAAAATTCTTTGCTCCCGTGCACCATGGTCCTGCCCAGTGCTTGCACCTGTTACCGGCGCTAGCCCCACTTGCATCTGCTGCTGGCGCCCAGCATCAGCCCCGATCCCTTGGTGCTGCCAGTGGGTGCAAGCAACAGCTGCCAGCCCCAAGCGCCCCTCAGGGCTTCTCCACCTCCCCCTGCTCCTGAGGGGAGATCAGGGCGGGCAGCACATCTGCTACTGGCCCCACTTGCACCCACTGCCAGTGCCAGAGCCACCACTCGCACCCACTGCCAGTGCCAGCTCTGCTCTCACCCACAGCCTATGGCGGAGCTGCTGTTTGCACCTGCTGCTGGTATCCGGCACCGGTCCCAATAGCTCAGCACCATCAGCAAACAAGCAGCTCTGCCAGTCCTGACTGCCCCTGAGGGCTTCTCCACCTTTCCCTGCTCCTAAGGGGCAATCAGGGCAGCAGCCACAGCTAGCACCTGCTGCTGGTGCTGGCCCAATTACTCCGTGGTGGCAAGTGGGGCTGCTGGGAGAGGGAGGGGCCCGAGGGAGGGGACCGGGGCCGTGGTGGGTGGGGCACAGAGGATGTGCCAAGATCCGCCCCAATGTCTACTGCAGCCTCCCGGGCCACAGTTCCTTTCAAGGTGCACGAATTTGTGCACTGGGCTCCTAATATTTCAATAACAATACACAAAAGAAATTCAACTGGTTAAGACTTTTAAACTTGGAAGGTAAATCCAGTCTTACCTTGGACAGTTTTTCCCAAGTAATCACCTTTGCGTTCCTTGTTAATGACATATTGGTATATCTTTCCAGTGGTCAGATTATTGTCCTTGGTGAGGCGGATGTCAAGGAAACGCTCATAGTTACCCAGGTCAAGGTCAACTTCTCCACCATCATCCAGTACAAAAACCTCACCTGCAGCAAACAGTGAAAATGTTTAGGGTAAATGAAAAATATACATGCCATGGCACAACTTGCATGCCAAAACATAAATACTCAACTAGAACAAAGTTACCTATACACAAAGCAATTTATTTCTAGATAACTAAATAGGACACATAAAATCACCAACCATTCTCCAAAAGGTAACTTCACAACAAACTTAGTCTGTGTCAGAAATAGTTATGAAATAGCAAGGAATTGAAGAAAATTATAGCCCAAAGAGCTATGGACATATGAGACTTTACAGTTAGAATGGCACCTGTTGTTTTCAACAAATGCTATACTTAAGCAAAACAAGGTTTGAAATGTGATAAAAGCATGATTTGATTCAAAGCTTAAACATGACATAAATATGTTAAGGTTGTTGATTCTAAAAGCCAACTCTGGGCTACACTTTATAGTCCTAAACAAAAGTTGTGAAAATGAAAGTATTTCCCATCTCTATGTTTCACATTCATTCCTCCAAACATCATTTTAGCAACTTTGCCCAAAATGGTTGGTTTGTTCCTACCATCCCAATAAGAGACAAGCTCAAATACGGGAAAAGAAAAAAATGTCTCATTTTCCCCCTCAGAGGGAGAGCTCATCCTCTGCTTGAGAATGCTGTAGGAAATATTGCCCCATATGTCCGTCTTTTCCTATCGCTATTTATTACACATAGGTTTTTGCCCTGGTGACACTCACCCTTACACATTTTTACCTCAACATTAGGAAGTAGGAGTATGAAAATAGAATTTTAAAACTTAGGAAGTATGTTCTATGAGTACATCTCCCCCCAATTTTAAGCAATTAATCTTAGAGGTAATTCAGGTATCACACAGTTGATAGGTACTCTATCCTCCTTTAGCAGTTTCAACTTTTCAGTCACCTCAAAAGATGTTCGTTTATATTATCCAAACTCTGTTAGCAAAACAGAAACCCTAGCATCTATATGTTGCTAAAATCCCTGCAAAGTGGTCCATTAGCCCGTTTGAATGGAATTCTCCATCAAAGGAACACGCAACTTCCAGAGGTCAGTTACCTCCACCTTGGAAAGCGCTTGTATTATCAAGATCTTTCTTATACCAGGGAAAGCTCTATTTCTTTATTATCTTTTCATGCATCCTGTTTCTAAAGCTTGGGGCCAGCAAAAATAAGTATAACCCCGTTCTCAAATATTTAAAGAAAGTTGTCACCAGATTACCTATTTTCAATCGAAGTGACAGATTTTAATTCAGCTGCCAAAAAGATAATTTCTATTATTTCTGTAATAGAAACCTCGAAACTCTAATTACTACATAGCATATTAAGATTTCTGCTTCTTCTCTGTCCAGGTGAGAAAAGCATCATTCTGCAACTCTAAGGAACTTTTTAGAAGGCAAGAAATGGAAGTTATGTCATGCGAAATACACACAATTTCCTAGGGCTGACTGACATTTCTTCTACACAATACACATTACTTTTAAAAAGAAAGAAGAGCCCTAGGCCATTTGGCTCAGTGGACAGAGAGTCAGCCTACAGACTAAAGGTCCTGGGTTCAATCTGATCAGTTGCATGCTTGATCCCCGACCCTGACCAGGGCACATGTGGAGGCAACCACTTGATGTGTCTCATACCAATGTTTCTCTCTCTGTGTCTCTCCCCCTCCCTTCCATTCCCTAAAAATCAATGGAAAAATATCCTCAGGTGAGGATTAACAACAAGTAAATAAAAGAAAAATGCACTTTGCTTACCATGCTCATAAGGAGAGAATGTCCCTGCATCGATGTTAATGTATGGGTCAATTTTAATCGAAGTTACATGTAAACCACATGACTTCAGTATTGTGCCCACACTGCTGGCGATGATTCCTTTTCCAATTCCTGATATAACACCACCAGTAACTAGAATGTACTTCATTTTACTTTGTGACCTGGGAGGACGAAAAATTAAAGGTTAAATACACCTCAACAAAATAAACGAAGGTTCACATACCAGCTCTGCCACTTAACTAGTTATAACCCTCTTGGAGCCTAGGTTTCCCTGTCCGTCACATGACTTCTGAAAGTTGTTTTGTTGTTTTTGGGCCACTGAATGGCTTCAGTCAAATATGAGTTGAAAAACAACTGCTAGACAAAACCGGTTTGGCTCAGTGGCTCAATGGATAGAGCGTCGGCTTGCGGACTGAAAGGTCCCAGGTTTGATTCTGGTCAAGGGTGCGTACCTTGGTTGCGGGCACATCCTCAATTGGGGGGGAAGGGGTGCGAAAGAGGCAGCAAATTGATGATTCTCTCTCATCAATGTTTCTAACTCTCTATCCCTCTCTCCTCCTCTCTGTAAAAAAAATCAATAAAATAGCCAAAACCGGTTTGGCTCAGTAGATAGAGCGTCAGTCTGCAGACTGAAAGGTCCTAGGTTCGATTCCAGTCAAGGGCATGTACATTAGTTGCGGGCACATCCCCGGTAGGGGGTGTGCAGGAGGCAGCTGGTCGATGTTTCTTTCTCATCAATGTTTCTAGCTCTCTGTCCCTCTATAAAAATCAATAATATGTATATATATATTTTAAAAATCAATAAAATATATATTTAAAAAAAGAAAAACAACTGCTAATCAAATAATGTACCTATTTTTTTTTAAAGTTTTGACAACAACCCTCAGAATCAACTGAATAAAAAAATAATAACTTTAAGCTATTGATAGAACACTATGCCTCAAATGTTGGCTGACACCACCACCAGACAATGGAACACCAGGCAGGCACCTCATTATTTTCCCTACACGGGGAAACAATTTCATCCTTGGATGAGAACTCTGATTTCCCATAAAAGAAATAGTGTCTTTGGCTAAATCACAAGGTAGCCCCAAGAAAACACGGCTCCTCTAGGTTACGGAAGACAGAATAAAAGGAAAGAACTTTAATATTGACAAGAAGTTGCAGTTAAACCTATAAATCTGTTGAAGGTAGCTCTCTTCCGCAGTTTAATAACTTACTCCTGGCCAGCAATCTCTCCCAGGTATGACCTGAAGAGTTTTATCTATTGGAGGAAAGGGGCAGCAGATAATAAACCAGTGTGAAGCACATAATGGGCGGAGGACTCAAAGAGAGGGCAGATTAGATTAAATCCAAAGAACCAGACAGTTGTGGCAGTGTCTGGAAGAAACAGACTCTAGGAGAGATAAAAGGGATGGACAGATAACAAGAACAGCAGAAATAAGGGGCAGGTAAAGCAGCGTAGACCAGAAGAGGAGACAGAGACAGGCTCGCAAGGAATTTACCACAGGCCCACAGCATCAAAGGTCCAGAAACATCATTTGGTCAATAAACCTAAATGGGATCAAAATGAAAAATGCAATCGCCAAGGAGAAAAAGCGGTGCTTGCTTTGGCAAAGTCAGGTCCTTCTCTGGGAACACTTCATGTGAAGCCAAATTATAACAAAAATAAGCTAAGAAAAGGAACAAGGAAACTGGAGTTCTGCTTGGAGCAATCTCCCACCCTGTTCTTCCCCAAAGCAAGACACACCTGGCAGGAAGATAAGCAACATTTCCAAAAGCCACGTTCTCGGTGTCATATGGGGTTCCCAAAAAGAGCTTTAGAGACAGATAAATAAAAGGAACGCTGGTTCAACAGTCAATTGGCTTCTTCAAGGCGATACCTCTGGGAGTCTTTAATAAGGTAACATTTAATGTGACCTCCAAAAAAAAAAAGGAGTATACAGAGCATGCAGTTTCCCCCATGTCCCTAACAAATTGATTTGACCCCATGTCCCTAACATTTGGGGGAAACACTTCTCTGACTGTTCCCTTAAAGTAAAAATAGTTCCTTCCTCTCACATGAATATCAGATGTGGTTATATTTTAAATATGTCCTAGCCAGGGATATCCCAGAGACCATGCTTGGTCTTACTGACTAAATTTGGATGTTTCTAGAAATTCCTCAGCCACCTGGAGTGGGTTACAGAGTAAGAAGACTCATCTCACCCTTTACACTTGAGTTGCCCCAATTTTTCTGTAAAAGGGGGGATTCCTGCAATCTCCCACAGTGCCTGGCAATAAATATGCAATGTACTTAAAACCAGGTACAGGAGGCTGGCAGGACTCCTCCTCAGTCCTGGACTACCCACTACTGTACGTATGTATGTCAGTGCTCTGGAGCCAGACACGGGGGACCCCCATCCGATTTGGACCCATCCCTCAAATGGCAGGCAGGCAGTCCAGTTATGAGACAAAACATTTATAAAGAAATGAGTATTCCAGGGATGGTGAGAGCAGAGGGACAACATGTGGAGGGGAGAGAGGGGGAAGAGAGAGCAGAAAGCTTTCAGTGACAACACCAGGGTATAAAGTGTCATGCATGACCCCTCTGGAAGGAAAGAGAAATCCAAGGGAGGGACCCAGACAGCTCCAGAGGTGCTGACCTGCGAGGCTTGCAATGGGGGAAGCAGGAAAAGGGGAACCGTGGCCAGGAAGGTGACAGCTCTCCTAAGAAGGGGAAGACAGCCGACAGGTTTGGCTCAATGGATAGAGCATAGGCTTGGGGACTGAAGGGTCCCGGGTTCGATTCCGGTCCCGGGTTCGATTCCGATACCTTGGTTTCGGGCATATCCCCAGTAGGGGTTTGCAAGAGGCAGCTGATCGATGACTTTCTCTCATCAATGTTTCTGACTATCTCTCCCTTCCTCTCTGTACAAAATCAATAAAATATATAAAAAAAAAAAGGGGGGGGGGGGAAGGCAGTGGGAAGTAAGCTGAAAGCATAGGCCAGGGACTCAATCATGTGAACATTTGAAAGTCCAATCTGAACTTTATTCTGAAGGCGATGGAGACCATCGCAAGGTTTCCAGGCTAAGAAGTAACAAAAATCACGATGCATCACAGGAGTTCAACAAAGATGACAAAAATGAAATAAAATAAAAAGTTTCTTTCGCTGTTACATGCGGTGAGCTCCAGCTCCAGCTCCGCCACTTGGGTTCTGAGACCTGTCAAGCCACTGAAGCCGCCCGGAAGCCCGCGTCCTGACATCTGTAAAATGGGGGTGACAGTCTCCACGTCGCCCGTGTCACTGCAGGAGATTCACCGTGACCGTGGGTGCAGGCGAGCGTGCGCCACGCAGACACCGGGAACTTAACTTGAAAACGCAGCCTCTTCACCCCGGGCGCCGGGAAGGGAGGCGGGCGGCCGGCCGGCCACGGGGCTGGAGGGAACGGCCCCGGGCGGCGGCCAGGCCCGGCGGGCTCCAAGGCCCCTTCGGCCCCGGGGACTCGGGGCGCGCCGGAGAGGGGGGCCGAGGCCAGGCCGCGGAGCCCTTCCCACCGCGACAAGCGTGTCTCGGACCTTCAACCCCCACCCCGCGCAGGGACGGCCGTGCCCGGAGGCCGGAGGGACGGGGCGGCCCCAGGCAGTCCGAAAAGGAGCAGCATCCGCGATGCTCCGGCGCACACAACGGCCCTCCGCGTCCACACGCCATGCCGGCCTCCCGCGGCCGGGCCTCCACACTGGGACCCCGTGGCCTTTCCCGGTGCCCGTCTACCCCCGGCCCTCCGCGGCCCGTCTCCCCGGCGGCGCCCGGCCACGCGGCCCCGCGCGCGCGGGAGCCGGCTCCGAGCCGGCCCGGCCGCCCGCCCCTCTCCCGTTAGGCTCGCAGCTCATTGGGCAGGCCGGCCGCCCTCCTCGCCCCTGATTGGCGCGAGCGGTGTCTGTCACCCGGCGGCGAGGCTGTCCCGCGCGGGCTCGGCTCGCGCCGCCGGTGTCTGCACGGAGGACAGCGCTCCCCGGGTCCCGGGTGCCAGCCTACCTGAGGCCGCTTCAGATCCTCCGGGCGGCTGAGGAGCTGGGAGGGAGACGAGCGCGCTGGGCCCCGGCGGCAGTGAAGCAGCGCGGCCGCATGCGCCCGGCAGCCTTTTACCGGGGCGGGCCCTAGGCGGTGCGCACGCACAGGCGGGGGGCGGGGCGGCGCGCGGACCCTCCCCAGGGTGGAGCCGGAGTGCGCAGGCGCAGGGCACACTCGCTCGCCTACTCCCTGGCGGCCTGGTCTCCGGGGTCCTCACCTGCTGACGCTGGAGAAGGAGCTATATTCCAGGCTGGGCAGGCTCCTTCCTCATCCAGCTCCCTTTCCCCCCACTTCATCCCTGACGGTGGCTGGTCCTGTGTCATCCCGCTGACACACACTGAGCGCTCACGGTGACACGCGCTATGCAAGGGACCCTGTCCGAGGTCTAACGAGGTAGTGCAGCCCACTGATCAGCTAATTAACGTCACCATTTTCTTTTCTTTTTCTTTAAAAAAAAAAAAAAAAATATATATATATATATATATATATATATATATATATATATATATATATATATATATATATATATATTTTAGCCGAAACCGGTTTGGCTCAATGGATAGAGCGTCGGCTTGGGGACTGAAGGATCCCGGGTTCGATTCCGGTCAAGGGCATGTACCTTGATTGCGGGCATATCCCCAGTAGGGGGTGTGCAAGAGGCAGCTGATCGATGACTCTCATCGATGTTTCTAACTCTCCATCTCTCTCCCTTCCTCTCTGTACAAAAACAATAAAATATACTTTATATATATATATATATATATATATATATATATTTGATTTTTTTTTTTTTTTTTTACAGAGAGGAAGAGAGGGATAGAGAGCTAGATACATCGATGAGAGAGAAACATCCATCAGTTGCCTCTTGCACACCCTCTACTGTGGATATGCCCTTGACTGGAATCGAACCCCGGACCTTTCAGTCCACAGGCCGAGGCTCTATCCACTGAGCCAATCCGGTTTCGGCACACTTCACCATTTTCATAAGTGATTGCTGCTGAAGTGCATGCCAGGGGAGTGAGACTTAGGAGGAGGATGGGGGGGCGGGGGGCGGACTAAGTCCGTTGGGGACTGGGGATGCAGGCGGGGAA